TTTTTATCATTATCAAAGAAATTGTTATTTATTTATTTATCCAAGCAAAATATGAAACTCTCGCTAACATGTATCTATAACGGAATGTTTTCTCTTTATTCTAACATATTAAATATTATTTTCTGAAATCCTATTAAAAAAATATAACCCATTTCGTGCGTACCGATTTTGAGTGAACGATGCTTTATTTAAACAAATACTCTTTGACGGATTTTTACACCACTTCTTATCTAGGAGATTTTTGGGTGGCTGATTACGAATCTGCAGTCACTTATCAAAAATTCAAAATGGCGGATCCGATATGGCGGAAGAAAATTAAAAAAAATCGGCAATTTCTATGAAACTAGGTATCTGGGTGGTTTCTGAGTCGCTGATTACGAATCTAAAGTCATTTACCAAAAATTAAAAGTGGCGGATCTAATATGACAGGCGAAATTTTTTAGTACATTTTAAAATAATTTAATAGAATAATAAAAATAGCCAGTATCATAACTATGCGACACCCACATATTGACAAGTTTTGACTATTTATTTTATTATTATTTAATCTTAACCACTTTTTTCATAAAAATGTAGTTTGTCCGTTATCAACGAAATTGTGTAAATCCAGGTTTCAAACTTTGCGCAGTATATGGAAAAAAAAACTCAACAAACTTTCGCAAAAATTTCGATGTCTTTAAATAGATTTCTTAGAAAGATATTGATTATGCAGTTTTCTAGCACATACAACTTAAATAAAATAAACTGCAAGTTTAAAGTACCGAGGGCTTTTTGATGAGTTTTGGCTTTTTTTTGTTTTTGAAGGTGATGCTCATATTCTCCATATAAAAAAATCATCGAACATACTTCGTCTGGAAGAAAATGACTGGCATCCCGTTACTTAACTTAATACTTAACTGATGCATCGTCAACAAAAAAATTGCCAAAAATCAAAGAAAAGCCCTAGGTACTTCAAACTTGAGCTTTATTTTACCAAAATCGAATGGGCTACAAAACTGATTACTCTATATCTTTCTAAGAAACCTAATTAACATCGAAATTTTTGCGAAAGTCTGCTGGTTGTTTTTTCAAATATTGCACAAAGTTTGAAACTTGTATTTATATGGTTTTTGTTAAAGACTAAAATTTAAGAATACAGCAAGAAACACCAATAAATTTCAGAAAAAATGTATAACAGCGCTTAAAGATTTGCATGCCTGTTGTATAATTTTTTAATATCAGAAAGCAGAAAATTCGCGAGTTACTAGTTTTTTTAACTCTTACATAACCAAAGTTTTGACAGCGCCAAGTAGTTTTCTGTTTTAACACTAAACGACACAACCAAAATGAGGGGTCAAATGAAAAGGCTTGGCCTCTAGATGTGCAGTAAGGATATATTTTTTAATAGGGTTGCCACCTGCGTTTAAAATTATGATATTTACACCGTTCTCCCGATTTTCAAAAATGAGGTGTCAAATAAATGGGCTTGGCCTCAAGATGTGTGGTAAGGCTTTATTTTTTTGAATAGGATTGCCACCTTTTTAAAAATTATAAAATCTGCACGGTTCGTTTCATTTAAAAAAAATAAGTGTCAAATGAAAGGGCTGGGCCTGAAGACGTACAGTAAAGATTTATTTTTTGAACAGAGTTGCCGCCTATCTACAAAATTATAATATTGACATCCTTCGCGTGATTTTCGAAAATGAGGTTTTAAATGAAAGTACCTGGCCTTTAGAACTGCACCAAGGTTTTTATTTTTGAATAGGGTTGCCTTCTGTCAAAAAGTTATAATGATTACACCGTTACACCACAGTAAACAAACTTAGCTTTTTTTTCACCAAGTTTGGTCCCCATAAAGGACTAGTGTTGCAAGCAACGCTTTTTCGGCAATTAGGGTGTTGTGCAGCTATTTAATGTGGTGAAAATTATTTAAGCACTGGAGAGATTTATTCACATGGAATTGGAGATAGGGCTGATAGATTTATTTTAAATAAATTGTGAATCTGCGAAAATATCTTTTCAGCAGATGAATATACTTTTTAACCTTTCTCCCGAAAATTTACATACAGGCTCGAAAATATGAGAGTAACATTCAAATATCGTCGCTTGGATGGAAAATTGCCGGAAGCGTCATTTTGACAATCTGTGGTTTTTGGATATCTTCTTTAGTTTCCGAGTAATTGACTAAAATGTTTTCGGTTATTTGGTACAAATTGCGTTAGTATGGCTGTCGTACTAAACTAATCAAAATCTTTCAAATAGAGTTATCTGTTCTTCTTTAGTTTCCGACATATTCAGCTTTATCATGAGTTTCATTTTCTAGAACCGGGTCACTTTTTACCTTCCTTTTATTAGCTCGGGATGTAACTATGTAATATTGATGCGCCTAAAAGATGCAGCGATTTCTATTCTCAAGTTACAGACCTGATGACAGTACGAAAGGCAATTATAATAGGGAGGTGTTAGTTTTTTAAACTATAATTTTATTTTACTTTTCATTTGCGTGTATTCACTACAGGTGGATGAAAAAACTGTTGGCGAAATTTGGTTCGGGCGAAACTCACGATTAGGCTGATTAGTAAAAAGTATCGTTAATTTATAAAAATTGTTATCACATTTTGGCGTATATCATTGAAACTGACTGCAAATTTTTTGACAAATATCGTATTCGACAAAATTTTATTAAACTCATAAATGGTTGACACTAAACTAAAAAAATAAAACAATTTAAGAATTTCATGAACTAGTACATAGCATTCTCCGACACTTTGGAGAAAATCTGTAGTCTAGTTCCTGAGAAATTGCATTCCAAACTTCAATTGTGAGTTACCGAAAGTAACTTGTGACAATCTTTTATCCAGGCGACGATATAATATTTACCTAAAATATGCATCTAAATAGATTATAATTGTCATTATTTTCGCAGTTGGAGTATATGCCAGACGAGTAACAGGTACACAAAATGAGGTAAATGAGCGCTTGAGCTTGTATATTTATCTCTCTCTAACGCATTAATTGTATATACGTCAGCACCAACGCCCGACAAAGTTATGTCTGTATTTAATAATGGCCCTATGACAAAATATTCATGAAATGTATTCGTAGATTTTTATTTACTTTCATTTAATACATTAGTATTGAGATGAATGATTTTTACTAAATACCGGGAATAAATATTTAATAAAAAACTATTTCATTTAAGCGTAACCAACTTATAGTTGCTCGGAGCTAATTTTGGAACGCTTAATGAAATATTTTCATAGACAGTAAATGCAACCCTGGGTGCATCATTATCGAGCTGAAAAACCAAACAAATAAAAAAATTCCATCTGAACCAATATTCCCAAAAATTATAAAGCAAAACAAAAGCCATTTTTCCAATTTATGCACTGTTATTTTTATTATTGCAATACAATTTCGCAGCTCTTCAAACATTTTCCACATTATGCTTTTAGGGCTAGTAGTTTCCGACCCCATTTGCTCGTTTTTTTTCAGTTCTGAATTTAGGCTAGGCTTCATGGGAACTTACTGTGGGTGCAAACAGACCACATTTTGTAAATATGTACATATGTATACACTTCAACGGAATTGTGATATTTAATTTTATTTTATAATGAAAAATGAATTTAATGTGCAATTTTTTAAGTTTACTAGATGTAAGACAACTTTTAATTTTCTTTATATATTGCATGCTTTAGTTTTAATTCTGTTTAAGTTAAGTTGTAAAGGTGAAAATAGGCCTCCTGGGCAACCGAGCACATTAAAAAAAAATCGGTAACGCGCGTAAAAGCATACCTCACAAGTGGTGTGGAAAATGCAAGAACAAATATAAATGGAATAATTTTCGAAATTATGAAATGGTTATTGGTATTTTCCATCTCAAAGGGGGTGATTAATTTGAACGTTATTTAAGCTGCCTTTACACGGTCGATTTTTGTCGTTTAACCAAAATCTACCCGTGTAAATTGCAATTCAACCGTAAAATGTAAGCGTTTTGGCTAGTCGATATCTTAAGTAAATTTTCCAGTCGACAGAAATCGACCCGTGAAAAGGCAACTTCAGGAATTTTTTAATTTTCTTTTTTTTTTTTTGCTTGGGCGTCTTTTGAAGATGTGCCAAATTATATTGTCTACTTAAATACAAAACAACAATTTCTTTAAGCCATCTTGTGCAGCAATTTGTTGATCTTATCCTCACGGCTACCGAAATCACCAACCTCAACGTAGTGATTAGCCTTCTTGCGCCCGCCTCGGGTTGATGTGTTGAGCTGGAATAGCAACAGAAAGGTGGGGGCTTTCTTGAAGTGAAGTGAATCAACGCATTGAATTTCGTGCGCTTCGCGAAATTTGCGTTCGATCACAAAGCAGAGATTGGGACACGCTTGACCATTCCACGTTTGTACATCAATTCACAAACTGATTTAAGATTTGGATAACCCCATATAGGGGGTTCGGCATACGTAGCATATTAATGGTTGCCTTGCTCAATTTGATGAACACACCGTTTTAATGTGGCGAAGACAGAACTGTAAAACTACGCACTTTTTGTGCAACTTTGTTGATACCGCGGATGCGGATCACAAAAGCCAATTTGGATTTTTCAGGCCCGTCGAATTGGCCGCATTTCTTTTCCATACAGCGCTACTCCATCTCACGGCGTCCATCACGGAGTTTTCTTGTTTGATATTTCTCAGCATGCACCAAGTTTTCACGTTTACGGAGTGCAATCACAGCAGAGCGCTTTAGTTTACGTTTGATCAGGGTAGCAATTTGCTGACCTGCTCTTGCTGAACTGCAGCTTCGACTCGGGGACAGGAGGCAGCTTCCTGGAAGGTTGTCTGCCCTTTGCTTGCGGTTTCTTACCGGCCGTGATGGCAGTCCTCTTAACCTGCTACTTAGCACGTTGAAAAGGCGAAAAAAAGTTAGCCAAATGTTTGGAGCACATCGTAAATGAGCCACTCAATTTAAAACATTTCTATAAACAATTTAAGTAAATACTTTTTATACATAGATCTGCTGCAACCAAATTCCATCCTGCTTATCGGCATAATTTTTTCCAAATATGCCTGCTACTTCATTACTAATTACTCAATTTTCCAACTGCGCCTTCTTTGTTGGCTCGACATATCCTAAACAAACATAAATTTACATTAAACAATAGAAATCGCAAAAATTAGCAAATAAAATACTCGCTTTGTTTTGTTTTGTTGTCAAATTTCTGAGAAATGTGAATTCACCACGATGCGATACAGAAAGAACAAGGACAAGGGATGTAATTTTAAGTAAATCTATTATTCAGTGGCAAGGCGCAGAGCGTTCGGGGCAGCAATATTAATTTGTATCAAATATAACATTCAACGGTGGTTCTAATACATTTTTTGATATTGTTAACCAGAGTACATACATTATATGGTATTTCTTTCAAAAATTAATGTACTATATGAACTTTTTTTTTCAAATATTTCTTAAGTTTCTTTCATGAGTGCTGAAAAGCAACCATGCGTGTAAGAAATTGTGTGCTACCAAAATTTCACCTCTGGAAACTTTATCCCCATAAAGGACTTCACCACAGTTTTTTTACTGGATATACTGAGTCCCCGATACAGACTCTGAAGCACCTAAAGACACAGCTGAAGGATAACCTGGATCTACGCAATAAATATACTATTACAAATACAACGGAACTAATCGAGAAGATGAAACCGTTGTAGATCAACAAAAACACTAAATTCGTATCATTCGACATCAAGGACCTTTACCCATCGATACCAACAATAGAAACCATAAAGACCGTACAAGAAATACTGATGGGAAAAATGAAAAGAGAAGCTGCTACAGAAATAATAAACGCGTTGAAGGTTACATTAAAACAAAACTACTTCCGGTTTAATAATAATATATATAAACAGATGAACGGGTTAGGAATGGGCAGTCCGACGTCAGCAATACTCATGGAAGTATTCATGAAAACACTAGAGCAGAAATACATGGAAAACCTATCGACCAACCTAGGAGTAAAATTCTACGCGAGATATGTCGATGATGTAACATGTCTAATAGAGGGAAACAAAGAGAAACAGATACTAGACTATCTCAACAAACAACACCAGAATAGCAAAGAGGAAGGCAATAAAAAAACTTGGGCAGTTCTAACTTACACAGGAAAGACATCTTATAAACTTTCCAAATTCTTTCATAAGTACGACATTCAGACATCATTTAAAACGAGGAACACCGTGGGAAGTATATTGAAAGAGAAAATAAGCGAGGAAGACCCGCTATATAAACAGGGTGTTTACAAGTTAACCTGCGAGTGCCGACACAGCTACATAGGACAAACAGGGCGAAATATAAGAACAAGGTATCGAGAACACATAAGGGAATATAATAAGAAAAAACTAAAACCAGAGACTGCAATAGAATCGAACTTAGCGAATCACATGATCAAAAATAAATGCGCACCAATGAAGATTGGACAAACAACAGAACCTCTCCGTGTACAACATAAAGGACAAAGATTGAATATATTAGAAAACATGGAAATATATAAACAGAAGATCTGTTATGCCTGCTTGTTCGAGGTGGAAGTCGTGGCGGGGCAGGCATGCTGGTAGCCCGGCTTGAGCTCGTCGGTTCTTGCCACCACTCCCAACCTTCAGCCATCAACAAAACTTTCATGCCTGAAAACCATGGACATGAAGAGAAGAAGAGATATAATGCTAAGCGGTAGAAAACAGTCCGGTCAGGGGGAGCCCTCCCACCCCATCTGCTTATATAACCAAAACAGCCTTGGACCCCACTGTGGCTCCGTGCGCGAGAGTGGAGTCCCCTATCCTGACTTGGTCCGTCAGTCAAATAGTCACGTCAGCGTCGTCATCGATTTGTACTAGTCGCGGTAATGAACACCTCCCTAGCCACGTTGCCCGAGGGCAACACCTACACCAACCGCAATAACAAATACTGCCTCATATTGCTATCTGACATCTCTCACCCGACAAATAAATACATAAATACTATAAACCTAGCCTATTGTTTTCCTCCTTATTCCTTTATTAAATGATCAAACAGGTATACTTTATTCTAGTACTTAACCTACAACAGAATTCATTAACTCAATATCCAAAACAAGTCTACTTGCCCCTACGTAGTGTTACTATCCTTATCACTATTATTAATACTACTACTGTATATATACATATATATATATGTATATTCTGTTTGTGTGTAACAGTTCACCCTAATACGATATCTCATACCACACAAGATACATCTGCATTATACTTCACCCTAGCGATGTTTTTAAACCGAGAATCTGCTTAGCAAAACAAAACCCCATATAAATATGGACCTAGAGAGCTATCCTGCTCTTACATGTACTAATGTATGTTATATATGTATATGTATATTTGCATTCACTCACCTTTCCATTACACCGATGTTGGTACCAGCACTGGCGACGAACGAAGGAGCTGAAAACTATGGATATACAACAATGGGCATACATATATACATACATAGAGTGGAAGTGACGGACACTTCCTACTTCCACTTGATTTCAATGGATCGACCGCGAATTAGTTCCGATTTAACTTCGCTACGGCTAAATACTACGCGTGTGTAGAAGTGTAAAAAAAATCTTTACTTAACTAAAGAAAGTGATCTGAATTCAAATTAATACGATATCAAGTTGTTAGTGTTATGTTAAGTTATACTATTAAACGAGTGTCTTAGAAAGAGTTTAAGAGTAGCCTAACGATATCAATTCTTATGAACAAAAAAAAAAATAGATAAAAAAAGGTTTGAATTGGAAGTGTTTAAATTCAATCAAGTTCAAAGTTCTCACAAAAAATCAAATAACACTAATTCCTCAAATTTAAAAAAGATAAAGATAACTAAAAATAAAAACAAAACCACAAAAGAAATTATAATAGTGCGGAAAGGTTGAAAACGGTATATAAAAAAAATGTATCGGAATTTGGTCCTCTTTGCTGCCTTCGTCGCCCGTCGATGCACCTGGTCGCACACCATAAAGTCCAGGAATGTCCTGGTAGGCCTTTGTTTTGCCTCAGCCACGTGGAGCTCCAATCAGACCAGGCCCAATTGGTTCAGCTGACAACACTTCCAGGTGAGTAACTCGTTGAATTGTCTTTCCTAGCGAGTCGGTTCTCGTTGATTTCGCCTATCTTCTCCCAACTGCCTTCCAACGCGGTTTCGATGCGCTCTGGGCCTGTCGCTCAGCGCGGATATATATCTGTCCTTTGCGCACCAAGTTTTTGTTCTGGTTCAACTTCCAGCCTTATATACCTCATATATGTACATGTACGCCTATGGCGTTACGTCGATAAGTGTGCCTGTATCCTCACGTTCTATCGCAGGTGGGCCTTTGGCCGCGGAAACCTCACGTTAGCTCCGCTACCCGCCAGTAATACCTGCCACCGAATTTCACCTCTACGACTTATCTCGATTTATGTCTCTTTCAAAATAACCTTTAAACACCTCACCAACTAACCATTCATACGCGTGGTTTAAAATGTCCCTTCCACCTAGGCCTTATACATACGGTGACCATAAATATATTTTGAAAATGCAGGCCAATTTTTCAAAATGTTTACCTACATATAATTGCGTAGTATAAAAATAACAAAAATATACTACATATATACATTCCTTGTCATGTGACTAGCGCACCCTTTCTTGATTTTCTACCATACAAAGTATGCTTGACAAAATTTTTATATGGAAGAAAATGCTCAGCACCGTCAAAAAATAGTGGGATGTAGACGTAGAATATGCTATATTTTTATAAAAAGTTAATTAATATTAAACAAACAAAAGGAAAACTGTACCTACTAAGTATTAAAAGAATGCGCTATTCAAATAACGAAGAGATTATATTTCTTAATTATTAATCCAATTTTAAACTTTAAACATAAATCACATTTGCTTCATTGGTATTAATCTTTTAGTAATAAATATTTACAAACTTATAATAAGGCATATTCCATATTACTTTACACGAAATATGAACCTCTGTAAAGCAAATTTTTTAGGCAAACTGGTCGTTCGGTCGTTGAACGCGAAAAAAATACCCATGGTTTCAAAGAAGTGTTTTCGAGATTTGTTCGAACACCGTATTTTTAGTACTTTCTATATCTCATGAAACGACCAACAGTTCGAAAGGTATTGATGGGCTCTTTGCAAAAATATATATTTTTTGTGCAGATTGTGTTCCGTAACATCTACATTTCTCATCAGATTTTCATTTACTGTAAAAAGAAAATGATTGAAATTTCAATTTTTCGATTTTGGTCGCTTGTAACACTAATAATTTTCATCGAAATCGGCAAAGTAATATATTTTTGTAAGAGGACTGTAGGTAGCTTATGTTGATTGGATAATTTTTTCATGAGATATTGACGAATAGGTTCGAAATGTACCAAAAACACGTTTTTCGAAAAAATTACGAAAACGCTTGTTTGAAAGGAAAATTGGCTTGGAAAATTTTTTTTCTTAAGCGATCACCACAAAATTTGTAGAACAGTGTTATCGATATATTTGATGCTGGTCTTCAATTTCTCATCATCCATTCCATAACCGTACAATATGTAGTTATCAATTAGTTATCGACACTGCTTTTATTTCCATTAGGAAAAGTTAATTTTAAAATATCGAAGAAAATGCGGGACAAAGGCAGGACACGTGGAAATAATCAGTACATCTTGGGGATTTTCTGTTTTGTTTAAATAACAGTACGGTCCTGCAAAAAACTGAACGGATGGTCACCGTACTTATACACCCTTTTTTCTTCTTAGAAGTTTATGACCTCTCAACCCATTCTAAAGTCCCGTAAGTCGCTCTTGTCAAAATCTCACAGTGTGCATACATGCAACCCTTTGTACATGTGTTACATTTGCTGGCGATTATGTACATATGTGCTCACGTATATTATTATGATAAAAGTTTAACATTTGCTCCATACCTTTCTGATGGCGGGGATGCTGGTTTGGGCTAGAAAATCCTCAACCGCTATTAATACCGCTATAAGCCACGATCACCGGTAAATATCTATATAATAATAATAATATATTGGCGCTTACACATATGTAAGTGTTTGGCCGAGCTTCTCCTCCGACTTGTGGCGTGCGCCTTGATGTTGTCACACAAAGTGGAGGGACCTACAGTTTTCCCCCGACTCCGAACGGCGATTGTATTTTTATGAGAAGCTGTTTT